CATCTCCAAGTCCAGCTGTATTTTCCCTAATGAAATTTTTGCCACAGTGAAGGTAGAATGTGAAAGTTCAATATTATGGATCAGCTTTGCTTACAAGGAAAGGGGAAACTGGCCAGAACCCATACACTGGAAAAGAGATGGATGAGAGCAATATCACAGAGGTCTGTAAAATTATGGAGCAAGGCATGATAAACATGATGGTCTAGATGAAAAATCACATACAGAAAAATCAGTGCTTGCAAGGTAGACCAGGCAAAAGACTTGTGATATCTGCCTGTTCCTCCCATCTTTTCTTTAGGGAGCCCTCCATTTGCTCTGGGGTGTCCACTTGTGTTCGTGCTTTTTCTGTCCCTTTGGGTTAAGAATGAGAGATCAGCAGGACCTTTGTGGGACCTCACCATGCCTTTGCTTCCCTCAGCCTTTTGCTGCCACCTCTTTCTCCAGGAGGGCCTGAGCAAAGCTGAGTTGGATACATCTCCGGTGTAGCAGTGTCTCCACTGTCATTAGAAGATAAATGCTGCTGTCTCCATGGCCAGGGAACAAACCAAATTAAACCCCACCATCCTCGGCAATTGATGGGCCGGCTGCCGAGCTCCGTGTCACAGCCGATTTCTCATGAACAATCAGGGGCGAATTGTATCTCTAATTTCTGTCACAAATGTTTTTGCTATGCAAAGGGACAAATAGGAGCAGGGAGAAGAGGAGAGAACGCTTGGCCTGGCCTTCAGCCTGATGGTGAGGGAAGGCTGCGACAATGCTAATGTGGTCCTAGGAAGGTGGTGGCTATTGGGGTTACATTAAGCAACAAGAAATGGCCAGATAAGCTGCTTTCTCTTGCTGTAATAACACCCACCCTGCTAAAATAAGGCAGCATGAAGGAGGGTGAGGAGGGAAGGGAATTGCCAGTGAGAAACCCGGCACAGGAGACCACGTTCCCCAACGGAGAGTCACACCAAGTGTGGGGGAATCTGTCGTAAAGTTCTGTAAGTGTGAAATTGTCTAATTGGGCTTGCCAGAGAGGGGCCGGGGATGCTGTGGCATTCGGGGCTGCTGCTGCAGGTGACATTGAGCTATGAGATGTTCAGATTGCAGTGATAAGCAGGTACCAACTTTCGACACTAATCTGACTTTAATAAATTTGTGGCGTATTGACTGCAGTGGAAGTCTAGATAAATATCATCTTCAAGAGGCTCAATAGATCAATGCTTTTTTGATACAGATAAAGAAAATAGAGGGTAGGTGTTTATGGCATTCCCTGCATGCAGTGTTATTATTCTTTGCTGATCCTTCTGCTATGGTAGGGGAGGGGAGCAAGAAGGAAGGTAAAAAAAGGATTTAGAAAGATAATTCACCAGACATTTAAAAAGCAGTTGTAAGAAGGAGATTTATGGCATTTTCTTCATCAATTTTAGGCTGAAAAGAGGAAGATCTTCATAAAGATGCATTGTCCTCTGAAAGACAAATTCCTGTCAAATGTGGTCTTGGTTTTAATGAGGGGGATCACTGGCACATGGCTGTGCTTGCTTAGGCTTTGGCAAAGAGGGACGTGCGGGTGTTTCACAGATTCCTGCT